CCAAATTGGGTTGGGTTGAAAATTGCCACGATTTAAGACTCTATTATCTTTTCTTCGAGAAGCAGGCAGGAAACCTATCTGGGATCACGTCAGCCCTAACCCTAACTCTAACCCCAGCTGCAGCACTTCCTCCTGTCTCCCAAGATTATTCTCCCAGCCCGTTACATCACTCAACAGATAGAGCTCAAGCTGTGATCAATTATTCATCTAATAAAGACGCCAAAATATTCCCCTATTGTGATTAAAAAACACTACAGGCTCTGGCAAGCTACTGAGATGCTGCTCCTGAGAACTGACGGAGCAGTGCAGTTTTCTGCCAACCTTTCTATATTGGCTTAACCCAGAGATGGGTAAGAAGCAGGGGACCCTCTCCTCATTCCTTCGGCCACCCTGGGACTTCCACCAGTCAGAAGCATTCACCCATTTCCCCTTATCTCTTGCTTGGATGCGGTTATTCTTTGGAAGTTTAGAAAGAGGAATTTGCCTCGGTGGTAGGCGAGCACCTTCCGCCACAGAAATGATAGCAGTGCTAGACTGAATCTCCTTCGCTGTGCTTGATGTTACCAATCAGCAGATGGCGCCAGAGAGATGCTGCACAGGGCACGCAGCCTCCTGTAAGTGCCCTCTCAAAAGGCTGGCAGTTTGGGTCCCTGATGAAGGCGATCTTCTGCAGGTGCCTGAAGACCTGCAACCACCTAAGGCCATGCAACTGCCAATGGCACAAATGAACAGTAACGTGGAGCGCCACATGGAAACGAACTGCTTGGCTGCCATCGGCAGAGAGGGGCTGGAGACGCAGGCAGAGGCACTGCCCTGACCTCCCATCTCCTTCTACCTCCTACCCGGACTTGCGTGCCCACTTCCCAAAACAGGTGCGATGGCTGTGACCACCTTCAGCTCTGGCACTGACTCTGAAACAAGCTGGACCTGCCGAGGCCAGTGGTGGGAAAAGGGGAAGTAAAAGGAGCAGCGGAGAAACCGTTTGGTCTTAGTGTTTTGATTAGATACTTTATTGGAAGCAAAAAATTCTGTGCATGTTTTAAAAAATCCAACCTGTGTACACATTTAATTGCTTTAAGAACCCAAACCACAGAAAACTCAGTTATTAAAAAGCAGCAAGATGGATTCTTGTTTAAATTTCTGCACACGTAGAATACAACAATACAGGAAAAGTAGCCCAGTCTCCTTGAGTTTCTTTACAGGATAAGTTCATCATCGGTTGCCGTATTTTAACATTTATTTCTAGACATGCTACTTTTAAAGGAAAAAAAGAATCACCTCTTCAATATTGCATTAAAAGCATTTTTATGTCATTCTGCCCTTTAACATGAGATTATGCAAAGTTACTGGAAACTCAAGTCAAAGTGATGAAATTTGCCATTCTGACTCCACGATGCAGAGAAAGGGGGACCTCGCGGCTGGGCCTCCGGCTGGAGCGGCTGCCTTCTCAAACCAGCCCTTCCAAACAGGGACGGCAAAGCTTCCCCATGACCGCCCCCGCCCCCTCCACAAACTCCTCTGGCAAACAATGTATTTACAATTGTGTTAACTTACTAGCAACTTCACAATGACTAGTACAGATTAAGAGTGCATTTCTGCAGTGTGCGTGTGCGTGTGTGTGTGTGTCTGTGTGTGTACATGAGACAGAATGCGTGGCTGTGTTTCCGAAATCGCTGTATCTTGCAACATTGCCAAAGCTTTAAATGGATTAACTAATTCCTCAAAAAAAAAAAAAAAAACCCTTCTTGAACGCTAAACAAATTTAAAGCAGAGAAATAAATACTGAAGGAAGTCACGGTTAATTGTAGTTAAGTTAAACGTAATACTAAACAACCAGTTATTTAACCAAATTACGCAGCACAGACATAGACTGAAGACTGAATGTAAAAAAATAATGCTGAAGGTAAAGGCAACAGTCTGCATAACTGAAAGTTTTGTTTCCATCTTATGCTCCCGCTTCCTTCATCGTTTTA